GGCTGCTGAAAGCAGGTATCTGGTTTGTTTGGGTTCTATAATTGAAACACAGTTTCAACTCCAGCTCTGAGGCCTGGCTTGCTGAAAGCAGGTTTCTGGGTTTTTTTTAGCTTCTATAATTGCAACAATGTTTCTTAAATTGCAAGCTCAGAGGCCGGCAAGGCAGGCGAGGAACATTGGCTTCCTCCATCACTGAAGCAAGCAAGCCTCCTGTTAGCTTCAAGCTTCCTGGCTGCCGGCCGCCATCTTGGTTGGCAGTTAATTTGCATATCTCCCTGATTAGCCAATGGGAAGGGTAGCGGAGGTACGGCTAATTACCATGTTTCTCTTTTATTAGATAGCATATTCTAAATGTAGCTATTTAATTCAGCTCTAAACCTACCTAATATAGGACTGAGTTTTCCCCACATCATGGAGATGTCAAGGGATATTTCATCAAATGAACTCAATTGTATTCCCCCAAATTAATATGCCGAGCCCTATTCCCCAATGTGATGGTCTCTGGCTTTGGAAGATGCTCAGAATGATCAGGTTTAGATGAGATGATGACAATGGGGACCTCATGATGGGATTAGTGCCACTGTGAAAAGAAGCGCCACAGAGCTTGCTCACTCTCTTCCCACCAGGTGAGGACAGTGGGAAAGCAGTTGCTTACAAGGCAGGAAGAGTCCTCACCAGAAAACAACCATGCTGACCTTGAACTCTGTCCTCCAGAACTGTGAGACAATACATTACTGTTGTTTAAGCCACTCAATCTATGGTACTGTATGGCACCCCAAGATAAGACAGTATGCTTTCCTGAAACAAAAATACTATCTCTTGAAAAACTAAGTTAAAAAGTCTTCCCCCAAACTCATCTCCAAAAAGATTATAATTTTGTTCTTATGCTGCTTCCTCAAGATGATTTTTCTAACATGAAATACTACTGAAATTCAAACTCAGATGAGCAGGCCTCAGAGAGAAGAGCAGTGTAACATAGTATTTAAAAATACAACCTCTGGAATCAGATTTGAACTCTGGCTCCAATGATTTACTAGCTGTGTGACCTTGGAAAGGGTACTTAACTTTCTTTAATTCTTGGGTGTCCTAATCTCTAGAATGGGGATAATATCTTTCTCAGAAAGTTACACTGAAGATCAAAGAAAATGAGACAGGCATGTGAGGCATTTAAAATAGCTGCTGCCATATGGTTAGGGCTCAATAAATAAGAGCTATTACTTACATTAATACTATAAATCTGAAATGTCATATACCTTTTGTAATTAAAAAATCAGTATAATCAATTACCTTGAAATAGTAGCAATAATCCCGAACTAGTCACATACCAATTCTATGAATGTAAATGAAAAAGCTCAATAGATTTAGTATAGCTTCATTCGTGACAAAAATTTTGAGTATAATAATGGTCTTTGGCATAAGTTTTCTATTGTACAAATCAGCTACATTTTATAGTATATGATCTACTTTATTCTTGAAAGACTTGACATAATTTCCCTGGACCAATGACCAATTAAAAGGTTGTCCTATTAGAACTTTCCTTTTGTATGAAAAAGCAATGTAATGTTCTAGTCACTATACCTGTTTAATTCATTTCTTATATCCAACAATTCTTGTCGCTCAGTTTTTACTGTATCTTTTTCCTCAGAAGCCAAGTAACGTAGTCTCATCTGTTCCAATTCTTCTTGCTGTTTTTTAAGACGAGCCATTTGACTTTCTTGCTCCCGCTGGAAAGAAACAAACAAGCCAGATCCCAAATATTAGGAATAAATATACTTCATATGACTTTAACTTGTGATTATAATCCTACTTGACAGTACCCATGATATAGCCACACACTGCCAATTCTATGACACACATCCAGAAATGACCAGTTTTCTTTTTCTTTAAAAAAAACCCACCTCTTTCCATTCCTTTTCTTTCTAAGCCATAATCTTTAAAGGCCCAATCAATGAAGTTAGCTGAATAGCATAAGATAAAAGAAGTTGAAGGCAAGAAAAGAGTCTGCTGACAACACAATAAATTGCTACAAGGATCAGTGGCAAGAGCAGCATCTAAGAAATGGTTAATTATACAAAGATGTACCAAGAAAAATTCAGTAACTGTCACTATTTCCATTGTCACTAATTCCACTCCTATCTTAGGTAACAATACGCCTTTTCACTCTTTTCTCCAGGCTCATACAAAAACCTATGCATTTGACATAATTTCTTTAAAATACATGTGTAACATTCCACAGAATGAATATTCCATGATTTTTTCAACCACGCTCTCAGTAACAGACTTTTGGTACAATAAGCAATGCTGCAATAAAACACCCTATCATCTAGTATCACTCACAAATATTTCTATATATATATTTTTTTTAGGGATGGGTGCTTTTCTTTCTTTAGGACACAACCCCAAAATGGGAGAGGTATGTGTCCAAGTAAACATTTATTTATTAAAACCAACCACTCAACTACCATCTAGATAAGAAACAAAAAATTATCAGAATCTCAGATGTCCGTTTCCATCCTTTCGCAAACATAACCACTACCCTACTTTCTAACACCACACATTTTGACTGCTTCAAACTTATATAAATGGAATTGGACAGTATGTACTACTTTATGTCTGGCTTCTTTCACTTAACATTGTTTTTAAATTCATTACTATTACGTGTAGTTGATGATTCATATTACTATTTGGCATTCCACTGGATGAATATACAAATTATTCATTCGACTGCTGAGGAACATTTTGGTTAGTTTCTGGTTTTGTATTATAAAGCTGATAGGAACAATATTATACATGCCCTTTGGCACATATTTGTATGCAGTTCTATTGGGTATATAATCTAGGATTCAAACACAGGGTATGAAAATTTCAGTAGTAGTATATACTGTCAAACAGTTTTCAAAGTAGTAGTACAAATTAATCTTCCATGTGAGCATTTCAGTGTTCAATGTTCTTGCCAACACTTGGTACTATCAATTTTTTTTTTTCATTTAAGCCGTTCTTATAGATTATGTAGTAGTATCTCATTGTGATTTTATTTTGCATTTTTTCAAAGACAACTGAGGTCGAACATGTTTTAATATTTTTATTTTATTTTATATATTTTATTGATTTTTTTACAGAGGGAAGGGAGAAGGATAGAGAGTTAGAAACATCGATCAGCTGCCTCCTGCACACTCTCTACTGGGGATGTGCCC